TAAAAGAATAGAAAATTTAAGAAAGTAAAAAATAAGAAAGCAGTTAAGAATGGAATTAAATCTAAAGATTATAAATTGAAAATTAGTAACTTTAATCTCTTAATAATATGCATCAATAAAAAATGTAAGAATTATAATAATAAATTATTCAAACTTAAAATTAAAATTCCCTTTTATAACAATAGCTTAAAGATAAAGAATTATTAATTTAAAAATTAGAAAATGAATGTAAAAAAATAGAAAAAAAATTTGTATCTTTACTTGAAGAATATAAAAAAACTCATGATTCAAAAAATCCTTACATTCTGGCTTAATTTGAAAAAAATGTATAAAATCTAATATAATTATATTTTAGTTAGCAGAATATAAAATTGAATTTGGTTTAACTTATAGGGAAGTTGATTGTTTTAAATTAAGAGCAGAAAATGAATACCTATTGAAATAATTAGAAGAACAAGAAGATTTATATTAAAAAATTTAACATGAAAAATAAGTTTTATATACAGAAAATAAGTTATTAACTACAAAATTATCAAAATTATCATCAAATTCAATAAATTAAAATAAAATAGAATCAGAATAACCATAAGATATTGAAGAATTTAAATTTTACAAATAAAAATCAAATCTTGTTTAATATGAATAAACAATGATTTGTTAAAAAAGATAAATAACATAATTAAAAGATCAATTACTTTAATTGAATGATAAAAAAAATAGTGTTACAAGTTAAACATGGGGTGTAAGTACAAAATCTAATTCTAGAAGAAATATTAATGAATTATAGGCATATAATATTTAATAATCTAAATAATCTGAAATTTAGAAAAGTCCTTATAGATAATCTAAAATTATAATGCCACCTATTTTAGATTATGATGCAACCATATTTGCTATTAATCCTATTATTTTTAATACTAGATTTAGATAAGCCTGTTTTACATAAAAATCTATTATTCATTAAGATGATAAAATATAAATTAACACAAGCACTTAATTAAAAATAACAACATTATTTATAACACTTATTATAACAAATAAATCATCAATGAAATTAAAAGATTTAAGTCTAAAATTATAAAATACAGAATAGTTGCAGGTTTAAATTTTAAATAATTTAAATCATATCATGAATCCTGAAGAAAGTTAAATAATATAAATTTAAATTGAAATTAAAGAAATGCCATATTCGATTTTGGAAGCTTCACTTATATACATGGATGAAATTATTTAATTTGGAATTCCTTGTACAATCAATAAATTTATGACATTCAATTCTTGTTAATAATTACCTACATCTTATTTCTATCAAAGCAAACCTTTTCTAACTGGGTTCTAGAGTTCTATACCTAATCTTCTCTCAGAATTTGAGATAGTTAGTTAATCTGATAATGAAGTATCTGTGTTAGCATAGGTAGAATATTAAAATGAAGAATATGAAATTATGATATCTTGTAGAAAGTCAATGATGTAAATAAAAATGAATGGCGGATATAATGATAAACTTGTTAAGACAATCATATCTACTTACTAGGGCTTATTTTTGAAAAGGTGATATATATATATATATAAATTGAAATATTTCATTTATTTTTTGGTAACTTATGTTTTGATATCATTAATTTTCTTTTTACACTTTATATGATCCATTAATACTACTAAAAATATGGTTTATTAAATGAAATCCTTAATATATATCTTTTTAATTAATAAAGTTATTTCAATGAATAAGTAAATCAATAATCCATACAATTACAGATTTAGAGTTCATATAGCTTAAACATAAAATTTATATATTAATCCATTTAAATAAATTTAATAAAATTTATTACTTATAATCATTTTTCAATTTTAAGAAATTTTAAACATAAATTTAAATGGAAGGAATCCTATTCTTAAGGATATAATTTTTTAACTTCGTTAATAACTTATTCTAATGTTGATAATTCAGATGGTAATCTTGATGCTAGTGATAACATATTCAGTCCTGAACTAAAATATTCTGGATGTCCTTAAAATACTAAAATTCTTTCATCTTTAGAAATCATGATTTCATTCTATTAATAAATAATTATATAGTAGAAATACTTTGCATGATTCACTTGAAGAGATTAATTGCAAAATTTCTGGGTATTTTGTAATTTCATCACCATGAGCTTAATTGATTATGGTTTATTCTTATAATTACATTCCTTAAAATAACTTGAATTATTTCATCAAATTAATATTATGATTCAAAAGAGTATTTCCAAAAACAAAATCATTTTTCATTTCTTCTACATTACCTCCTAATGCTGTAGTGAGTATTTAAAATCCAAAACAAATACCTAGAATCTTAACCTTTGGATTAGTTTCATATGCCTTTTTTAATATTACTTTAACATCCTCTATCCATTTATAATTATCATAAACAGATATTCTATTACCAGGCATAATGATTGCATCAGCTCTTTGAATCATATCATCATTTGGATAATGACCTTATGCTACATTATATTGATTCCAATTATCATATCTTCTACGAAATATTCCATTATAAACAGAAACTGTATCTAAATAAAAGCCTGAACCATCATAAATTGAATATTATTTTGTTTTGAAATTAAAGTGGAGTATAACTCTACCATCTTTTCTTAAATAATCATTATTTATCAATGCATTTTATAAATTAATAAACTTATCTTTCTATTCTGGAAAATTCATTGACATACTTTCTTGTAATTCATATATATTTACTTATCTATAAATACTATATAAAATATATATACTTTAAGATTAAGCCTTATTGTTATTAAATGTAATCTATATCATTTTATTGTAATTTTATTATATAATAAAAGTTTTCTTCCTTATCATCATTCCATAATGGACAATTATTAAAAAATTAAGTCCAAAGGGGAGCTTAAATATTTCTTTTGTGTCTAAGTAATTCCTATATTTATTAAATGAAAATCTACTTTTTCTTCTTCAGAACTTTGACTCCATATATTTTATACTTTGTAGTTATATTTAGCAAAATCAATCAAATCTAAGTATTCTTTGTTAAAAAAAGAAAATTTCTATAATTCAATGTTTTTTAATTAATCCAAGATAATTTTAGGTCCAGTTAATGAGGCACTTTAGAAATCCTCTTTTGTAATTTCAATATGAGGTAGAGAGAATGGATTTTATGGAGTATTTTGAAATAGCAATACATATTGTTAATCATTTACTTAAGTTAGGAATACTAAGTAAAGAGATTTCATTATTAATTAATAAAATTAATACTAAAGTGTGTCAATTAAATTGTAAGAAATTAAATTATTTGTTATTAACAGATTATATAAAATTGTATTCAAGTATTGATAATGCCATAAATTAATTTAATTGAAATGCATAAGAAGATTGAAATTATATTGTGCTCGATTTCATATTTCTATAATGTCCAATAATAAAATAATTATCTTTTATATGATTTTTCTCTACCAGAAGAGTAATTGAAAAAATATATTTTTAGTAACAAATAATGCAAAGCTGTAAAAGTTGACATAAATAAACTGAAAAATGCCACTAAAATAGATTAAGCTCTTGAGATTATGTATATATCTTAATCTTATTTAAGACCAGAACAAAATAAATTATTAGAAAAAAAGAGAAGAGCTTATAATTTTATACTTCCATTTAAGTAATCTAATTGCATTACAGCTCATTTAAAATAATTAATTACATAAACAGATGGTTTATCATTAAGTTTAGACTCTGATAATTTCTTTGATATTCTACTAGAATACAAAGACTTAGAAAAGCTAATTAATAATGATAACATTGTAGAAAATTTGAAAATATTTCATCTACTTTTACTTAAGGAATTAGTAAGAGAAATATATATTATTTGTGAATCATAAGAAAATTTAGTTTCTCGTTTTCCTTTTTATTATTAGACCTTTGAATTTAATTTCCCCAATGAAATAATTGAAAATTAACTTTACTTAGGTAATAGTAATCATGCCAACAATCTTAAAGCATTAAATCTATTAGGAATCACTCATGTTGTTAATTGTGCTAAAGAAATACCAAATTATTTCAATGATGTGAAATAAGAAAATAAGAATTTCATTAAATATTTCCAAGTTCCTGTTTTGGATTTAGAAGAAGAACCAATATCTGATCATTTTGATGAAGCTTACATTTTTATTAATGATGCCTTAAGTTAATAAGAAAATAAAGTATATTTAGAATTCTATATTTGAAAAGGTCCTGGTTCATTGTGCTTAAGGCAAAAGTAGATCAGCCACAATAGTGCTTATGTTCTTAATGAGAAATAAATAATGGACTTTTGATTAAACTTATGAATATGTCCAAAAAAGAAGAGAAACTATATCCATAAATGATGGATTTCAATTCCAATTATTGCAGATCTGAATTTTCAAAATAATTATCTCAAAATTATTTTAAGTCTATGAGATTATAATAATAATCAACCAATTATTTATTTGCTAATCAAATTTTAATATAAATAAATAAAAGCATTTAAATTTCTTAATTTCATCCATTTATTTATACTTTTTACTTTTTTCTTAGTTTTTAGGAATTTAAGTACGATATTTTGAAAATATACTAAAATTCTATTTTAATGTTTCAATTTTTAATGTATATATTCAGAAAAATGTTGAAACTTCTCTTCTAAAATTAATTCAAACTTTTATTATTATTTCATTATAAATAACATAGATTTTATTAAATGTTTATCTAAATTTTCTTTATTTTTCATGTATGAATAATAAATTACAAATTTATTCTCTATTAACTGTATGATAATATCTTTTAAGTAATCTCCTTCCATTATTTTGAGACAAGATAATTTAGAGTTTTAGCTTGAAATAAAGATTGTTCTTTATCCTTCAGTACTCTTGGTGATTAAGTAAGTAAGATCAATTAAATTCATTTAGTTTTCATTATAATATTTGATGTTAATTGAAATCTAATAATATATTTGATTCAATAGATACCTAATATTTCCCATGTAAAGATNCATTGTAGAAAATTTGAAAATATTTCATCTACTTTTACTTAAGGAATTAGTAAGAGAAATATATATTATTTGTGAATCATAAGAAAATTTAGTTTCTCGTTTTCCTTTTTATTATTAGACCTTTGAATTTAATTTCCCCAATGAAATAATTGAAAATTAACTTTACTTAGGTAATAGTAATCATGCCAACAATCTTAAAGCATTAAATCTATTAGGAATCACTCATGTTGTTAATTGTGCTAAAGAAATACCAAATTATTTCAATGATGTGAAATAAGAAAATAAGAATTTCATTAAATATTTCCAAGTTCCTGTTTTGGATTTAGAAGAAGAACCAATATCTGATCATTTTGATGAAGCTTACATTTTTATTAATGATGCCTTAAGTTAATAAGAAAATAAAGTATATTTAGAATTCTATATTTGAAAAGGTCCTGGTTCATTGTGCTTAAGGCAAAAGTAGATCAGCCACAATAGTGCTTATGTTCTTAATGAGAAATAAATAATGGACTTTTGATTAAACTTATGAATATGTCCAAAAAAGAAGAGAAACTATATCCATAAATGATGGATTTCAATTCCAATTATTGCAGATCTGAATTTTCAAAATAATTATCTCAAAATTATTTTAAGTCTATGAGATTATAATAATAATCAACCAATTATTTATTTGCTAATCAAATTTTAATATAAATAAATAAAAGCATTTAAATTTCTTAATTTCATCCATTTATTTATACTTTTTACTTTTTTCTTAGTTTTTAGGAATTTAAGTACGATATTTTGAAAATATACTAAAATTCTATTTTAATGTTTCAATTTTTAATGTATATATTCAGAAAAATGTTGAAACTTCTCTTCTAAAATTAATTCAAACTTTTATTATTATTTCATTATAAATAACATAGATTTTATTAAATGTTTATCTAAATTTTCTTTATTTTTCATGTATGAATAATAAATTACAAATTTATTCTCTATTAACTGTATGATAATATCTTTTAAGTAATCTCCTTCCATTATTTTGAGACAAGATAATTTAGAGTTTTAGCTTGAAATAAAGATTGTTCTTTATCCTTCAGTACTCTTGGTGATTAAGTAAGTAAGATCAATTAAATTCATTTAGTTTTCATTATAATATTTGATGTTAATTGAAATCTAATAATATATTTGATTCAATAGATACCTAATATTTCCCATGTAAAGATAATATACATTTTGTATATATTTCTTTGATAAAATTCATATGTAATAGCATAATTTGATAATCCAATAAAAGCCTTCATCATATTAGTATTTAGAATAATTACACAGCAACTATGTTTAAATGATAATTTTATTAAACCACAATTCTCTAAAACATAAGAACAGAATAATATCACTTCTACAATATCAAAAATAATTTATGTACTAATAGTCATATCTATTTAATCTTGAACTAAATCTATAGTAGTTCAAGTTTTTACTTGATTTATATGAGCAATAGATGTTTTGGAATGAGAAATTTGATTTAAAAATTGAACTATGCTGCACTCTTCAATCTAGTAATTGATTAACAAGATTTAAGAGCATAATTGATTTAGCTTTTTAATTTAAATTTATAATAATCATCTTAATAAATCAAACAAATCAATTACTTGATTAATAGTTTTTGGTTTGAATCTATCTTATTGAATTAATGTTCTTAATGTTCTTATTTCAGTTTGGAGAGGTTTATCAATAGTGATTAATTCTTTTCCTATTTTGGAATTCAAGAACTAATCTAAGATTTAAAATTAAGTTCTAAAATACTAACCTATAATTTCTTCATTTTATTAATTAGATTCTCTTAAATGATTTTGGAGATTAATTATAATTTAACGCATTTACTTTTACAAAATTGCTAATTATCTTTTTTAATGATAATTATCATATTTAAATATTGAATTTCTATTTTCTATCATTCGAATATTATTGGGAGAATAATTATGTTATTTTAAATTTTATTTATTTCCTCTACTTAATTTATGTTCTAATCTTGATGTATAAATTTAATCCATATTTTTTTTAGTAACTAATTTACTTCCATTATTTATAATATCCTTATTCAAATGAATCAATGATATTTCATCATCTGGTATACATTCAGTTAGATTAGATAAGATATCATAAAATGATTTTTTAAGATTAACATTTCCATTTCTTATAGTTTAAAATTTAGGAATCCAACTATTTAATTACTTTAAATTTTCTGATACTTAACCAGGTACATTATCACTAATATTACTCATTTAATCATCATCAAAAGAGCTATTTTCATCACTCAAATTCAATTTTTCAATTGCTTTTACAGGAGGAGATACATTTGGAATACTATCAACTTCTTCATTCAAATTACTATTTTAAAGAATAAGTGAATTTCTAATTTATATCAATTATTATTTCTTTAATATTTTATATAAGAAAACATTACGAATTTTAGGTAAAAAACAAAGCATTAATGTTTGATAAGTAATAGGAACAAGTTAAAAATCAATTAAAAACTATTGAATCATAAAATTTTTAGTTAATATTGATTTATCCAATAAAGATAATTTTGTATGAGGATTTATACTGCAAAAATTAAATAGATTTTCATCATTAAATTATCTCATCTATGTTGTATTCCATTCACTACAAAATTATAATGTAAAAAAATTATTTTTTTCTATTAAAATCTCTAAACAAGTTTATCCTTTTAAATTTTAATGATTAACATCAAATGGTTATTATAAAATAACTTAATAAAATTATTTAACTCTTTTATGATCACTATAAGAACTTACTATATGTAATGGAGTATCTTTAAAAATATCATATTATGCAGGATTTGCTCCTAAATCTATTAAATCTTTAAGTAATTCAACTTAACATTATTATGCTGCTATGTGTAAATTTGATGATTATAATCCACCTCCTAAATTCACATTTATATTGAATTACAATATCAAAGAAACCAAACGATAATATTTCTTTTCAATTGCTAGACTAAATGGTGTATGTCCTTTAAGATCTATTTAATTAGCCAAATCTAAATGATGATTTAATAGATAATCTAAAATTCCAATTTCATCATAAACTACTGCTAAATGCATAAGATTCTAAATGTATTATTATCCATAGAGATACTTATTTATAATCATTAATGTAATTCAATGAAGTCTCAATCTCAAGTGAATGGTAATTCAAATACTCCTTTATTTGGGTGAGGAGTTGTTCGTTTTGAGAATCTATTGAGAGGTAAGGTTTTTTGTACTTATGCTATCATTTAGAATGTCTCCTTAAGTAACAATAATTGCACTGCTGATTGATTTATAATTCATAATGTATTATTCAAATGTTAATTCATTAGACATAGCTTCTACCAATGTAAAAAATACTTTCAATTTTTAATCCTCTAATAAAAAATCATATTAAGATTAACAAAATATGCCCCAGCCTAAACCTAATACTTCTAAAGTATAGCTTAAGTCCATAATTTGTTTACTTATATTAGTAAAGTAATTTTATTATAAATACAGTTTTTTAAGATGTAATTAACATATAGAAGGATCTATTTATTTCAAAAGATTTCTTGCTATATTAAGAGTTGATAATTTAGGAACATCATTAAATTCAATAGGTCCAAATATTTACAATTAATTATTCTCCAAAGATAGATTTTATAGTAATGGAGTTTTTTTTAAAATATTTGTGTCAAATTCTTTTAATTTATTTTCATTTAATATTAGATGTAAAAGACCATTCCATATCATTCCATCCTATTATGATAAATCATAAATTACATTAAAAATGTTTAATCCTTATCTTGAATAATCCAAAAGTAATCGTTACTATTCATTATCAGAATTAGTTTATTTATTTGTTTAAAAACTACGTTAAGTAACAAATTTGACTTATATCGGACTTCGTTAGCTTTTATTTTTGGCAGATTGTATGGATAGACATTATTCAAAAGTTTCATTCATTTTATATATTATTATCAAATAAATCACTTTTTTCTACAAGTATTTTAGTATTAATGTATTAATCTCATAAACTAAACTTATTTTCTTAATATCAATACTCTATTTTAATATAAATAGATCTTAATAAGAAATTAAAAATCTGATTAGTTAATATATAACATTTTATCACTCTTTTACAATTTAAGAAATTGGTTATTTATTTTAATTCTTTGTTTCAATTTCTACCATTAAAATATCTCCTATTTTGAAACCATGTTCTTTTAGATCTGAATCATCATCTTTTCCTGATTTTACAGAATGTACTATTCCTAAATCCTTTTTCTTTTACACTCCATGTTAATCCAAATAGATATTACTTACTTTAAATAAAATATCTCTTCTGTAAACTCCATCTAATTGATATTTTAATTAATCCACAATATCTCTTAATTTTGAACTCAAACTAATAATTTTTTTTTAGTATTAATTATTACAATAAATATAGTAATATTTCTTATGTTTAATTTTTATTAAATTCTTCTAATGTAATTTATCCATATTTCCAATGTGTTCTAACTAAAAATGGTACTTAATGCTTTAAATTAAAATTCAATTTTACTCTGTCTTTATCATTTTGATTTCTCTTATCCCTAAATCTTCCATATCTACCATGAATTCCATCTACTTTAATTTAGTCTTTTTTATTTTATGCCATTTATAATTAAGTATATTATAAATATATATTTTAAATAATTTAATTACTCTAAAATTTTAAGTGTAAAAATTAAATTGTATAATTTTTATTAGAAATTAAATCACTTTTACAACATCATTTATCTAGTTTAAATTTAATATTATTTCTAATAATAATTTTTTATGAATAGAATTAATAAGTAATAAAATTGATTAAAAACATTTAGAATTTATTCATATACAAAATTTTAATTTTAATATTTTTTTATGCCTCCCAAAAGTAGAAAATAAGATCTAATTTCAAATCAACTCAAAGTAAAATTTGATTACTAATATTCAAAGGAAGAGGGAAATATTGAATTACTTAATAGAGAATATTATAAAGCTATTATCTTATATACGAAAGCTCTTTGTAAACTTATTATAAAAATATTTTTTTTAGAATTTGAAGAGAATCCTATTTGTTATAATAATCGTGCTTAAGCTTATTTTTATACAGATGAACTAGAATTGGCCTTGGAAGATTGTAATAAAGCATTACAATTAAATCCAAATTATGTTAAAGCTATTACTAATAAGGCTTAAGTACTATATGAAATGGGTTATCTACAAGTATAACTCTAAACTTATTTTTAGTAAGCAATTGAATGTTTGTAGAGTATAAATAATCACACTCCAGAAAGTCAAATATTATTTAATTAATATTAATCATTATCTCTAAAAGTAAAACTGATATCACATCAAGAATATATTAGATTAAGTAGAATTAGAACGTTAGAAGAGACTATTAGAATGGTTAAAATAAGGAAAAGCCCTATTTCCAAAAATAAAAATCGAATGTTATACAGACACTTATCGTGGTGTTAATGCTAAATAAACTATAAATGCTAAAGAGTTGATTCTCTTTATTCCAAAATCTCATATGATAACCTTGGAAATGACAAAAGAAATTCCTGTAGCTAAAAAAATGATATAATACAGACTAGATTTACTTTCACCAAAACATTCATTTCTCTCTACCTTTTTACTTTAAGAGAAATAGAGACCCAATTCTTTTTGGAAACCATATCTAGATATATTACCATAATCCTATCCATCATTTCCCATATTTTTTAATAATAATGATTTAGAATGGTTAAAAGGTTCACCATTTTTAAGTATATATTAAATAAAATAATTTAGAGTAGATTAAAGATAAACTTTCTGATTTAAAAAAAGATTATAATGATATCTGTGCTATTGCACCTGAATTTAAATAATATTTATTTCATGAATTTTGTTGGGCAAGGATGACAGCTAGTAGCAGAATTTTTGGTATAAACATTAAAGGTGTTAAAACAGATGCATTTGTACCATTAGCAGATATGCTTAATCATAAAAGACCAAAATTAACATCTTGGTGTTATTCAGATGAAAAATAAGGATTTATTATAGAAACAGATGAAAAAATTGAAAGAGGATAAATGATATTTGATAGTTATGGAAGAAAATGCAACTCAAGATTTTTATTAAATTATGGTTTTGTAGTTGATGATAATGATGCAAATGAAGTCATTGTTACTGTCATTGCAGATTTAAATGATCCTCTCTTATAATTAAAAGAAGAATACATTGAAGAATAATTATAATGGCCTAAAACATTTAGATTAATGATGGATACAGATGGTATTTATATACATATATCTAGAACCAACAATTATGGAATTCATGAGTTATATCAGATTTTTAGTGATTAGAGATGAAACTTAACTTTAATTATTATTTAATTAAAGAGAATCTAAATATTATAAACCTACTAAAACATAACCTTTGAGTTTATAAAATGAATTTGATATGTGGGAAATGATAGGACGAATATGTAACAATGCTTTATAACAATATATAACTACATTTGAAGTGAGTCTATTTATAAATTATTTAGCAAGATAAAGAAATACTCTAAATTTGTGAATTAAGTATAAATGAAAGAAATTGTTTGATTCTTAGGATGGGAGAAAAAGAAATATTGAAATTCTATTAATAATTAAGTGAAAATATGAAATAGCTTTTAAGTAATTTTAATTAATTAGTATTTTATTAATAAAAATAAAATAGGAAATTAATATATTCTGTTAAAAAGAAGAAAATTGTAAATACTTAAACTATATAAATAAAGTTATTATATTTTTAAATTAAGATGATCAATGAAATTATTATTGTTAAATAAATTATTTTAAAACTTAGATATTTAAATTCAAAAGTTAATTTTTTTTTCTAAAATAGTTTCTAATCTACTCTTTTATTAGGACAAATAAAGTGTAACATTTTTTATAGTCTCTTCATCTTATATTTTTTAGACATCTTAATTCAATGAAGTCAATTATTTTACTAAAGTTTAACAAATTGTCCTAAAATTAAATATATATAAATTACATATCTCTTTCCCAATTTAAAATTTAAAGCATTTAACAACTTTTTAATCTATATTATACTATATCATTATAATAAGGTAACAAATCTAAAATTTGTTTATTTTCTAATTCTGCCATTCTTTAATCATAAATTATAAGTAATTCTGTATATCTTGCTAATCCTTCCCAAATAAAGTATTTTTATCCAATTTCTTTAGCCAAATATTCATACAATTTTAAAATTCTTTTTTTATTAATATTTGATTATATTATATTCTCTTAATTTAATTAATCTGTTTAATATGCAAATGTTTATGTAATCTTTTAGATTATTTATTCATCTATTAATTCTCGATGATCTAATTAAACTAGTTTTTCAATGCAAGAATAAAATCTAACAAATTTCTTATTTCTTAATGAAACTCCCATTAAATTACTCCATAATCTCCAATCTGTACTAGCATATTTAACACCTTATTCTAAAGCAGATTAAGCTTCACTATATTTTTTCAAAGCAACCAAACAAGATGAAATATTACCCCAAATTTCTCCATCATTTTCATTTATTCTAACAGCTTCACCTAATGATTTTATTGCCTCTTCTAATTTATTCAATCTCATATAAGCACATCCCATTATATACCATGATTTTTAATGATATGAATTAATCTTAACAGCTTTTCTATAAGATTTGATAGATTTTTCATAATTCTTTTCTTTAAAAAAGTAATATTCTCCCAAAGATCTTTATGCTCTAGCAAATCGTTTTTTAGAATCTTTCCAAGCTTCTTTTAAAATCTTAACATCTTATTTAATTTCTCCTGTAATACATTTCATTTTAACTGTACCAAATCCTTTTGCTGTTATTTATTCTATTTCTTTAAGTGCTCTTTATGTATCACCTGTACCTACAATACATTCTACACATTCCTCCCACATTTCTAATCTAGCAAATATCTCATAACCACTTGACATCATTCCAACTTTCATCCATTATTCACCTAAAATTCCACTTAAATTATAATAATCAGGATAATTTGAATAAAATAAATTCAATGCTTTTAAATCAGAATCTGGTTATGTTTCATTAAATTAATCAACAAGAGTCTGCATTTAAATCAATGCTCTCTCCATTCTCTTTAGATGATTAAATTCATTTAAAGATCTTAATAATAAACCCTATGAATAAACAATCCAACTATTTGATTTATCAAGCATTAAATTTAAGTATGCTTAAACTTATTATTAAAGTATTTCATCATTTGGTAAAGTTCTTTTATAATGATGTATTAATCCTAATAAAACAATTTATTCTTCTAATGATAATGAATCCTATTTAATTTCCCCATCAAGTACTGGTTTATCAAATAAAATAGATTCTTCTTCTAAATTTACTTCCTATGAAGCATACTATTAAAGAACCTCTTGTACTTTTGGCAATTCCTAAACTATATTAATATTTAGATTTATTAATTACTTTCTTTTTCTACACTTTCCTAATCTATTATTTAAGCAACTAATTGAGGAAGTTTTTCTTCTTAAAATTTAGTTTTTTTTCCTAATTTACCAGTTAATTCAAATCTAACTTTAAGTAATTACTATAATTTATATTATTTTATTTACTTATGCTTTAAATAAACATGCTTCTGCTTCTTAATATTTGTAATAATAATTATAAATATAAGAGAATTCTGTATATAATTTAGCTTATTCTTTAGGACCAATTGGATAATTATCAAGAAATTCTTAAAATGAATTAAATATTTAATCCTTTAATTCTTAAACAGGATTGTCTAGAAATTAATTATGCATAAAATTAAGTCTAGCCCACCATAATTAATAAATTGGATTCGTATTATGTAATAATTCAAGAATTTATTTACATACTAAAAATAGATGTTTAAGCTAAATCACTCTCTTAAAAAGTTCACCACAACATTGTAATTTATTTAAGATAACTATTATATAGTCTAAATATTATACATTCTTGATTAGCTTATGAGTGATAGATTTCATATTCTGAAACTCTACTAATCTAATTAATAAGAGGTAATAATTCGATTAAGCCAAGTTCTTCTAAATATTCTTTACTAATTTGATTAATTTAACATTTTGGAATGACTTATTTAATTAATATATTTTCAATAAATAACTTTCTATCTGCATTTTAATAGTGATATGATGGTCCTGTAAAGTTTTCTTTTATAAAAAGACCATAAAGTATTTAAAATATGTCAAATACAATTTGTTTATGTTATGTTTCAAGAATCTTTAAACAACACTATTTTATGATGTCTAATGCTTGATCATTAATATTGTCTGCAAAAAATAGTATTACTTTGAGTCCTACACCTAAATGTCCTTTGTCTAACAATTACTATAAATTATATTCACACTTAATTTCCATTATAAAATTAATTAATGTCTAATTTTACAAATGCTAAACCTTAAAGAAAATATAGAGAAAGAGCATAACCTGTAATTAAAAATCTTATGAATTTATTAGACATCTAGATAATTTCTTGGTATTTTAGAAAAGCATGGTGATTATAAAAAGAGAGCTATAAATTATTAGAGAAAGAAAGAATAATTACAAAAATTACAATTGAAAGCTGCTTTAAGAAATAAAGATGAATTTAATTTTAGAATGCTTAAAAGTAAAGTAAAGGATGGTGTGGTGTATGAAGATTAAGATGAAAGTAGTGGTGATGAATAAGAAATCCTTAAATAAATTAAAACTCAAAATTAAAATTTACTTAAAGCCTCTATTTAACAAAAAGAAAAAGTAAAAATATTATTTTTTAATAATTACTAGTTAACTGAGAAACTCAAGGAAGACTTAGCAATGGTATAATTTGAGTAACCTACACATAAATTCTTTTTGAAAGAAGCAAGGAAAAAGAGTTTTGATTAAATTGAAGATAAATTGTAAGGTGAAGCATAATAATCTACTCCAAATTCTGAATTAACTTAAAAGATAAATAAATTAACAGAAGCTTTATATGAGAAAGAGAGAATGAAACGATTTTATGTGGCTATTACAAAATCAAAAACTAAAGTAAATTTATAATCTTTCATATTTATTTAGGATAATGTAACAGCCAAACCTCACTAAAGAAAAAGAATCAAGAAAGGCAAAGGAAAAGGATTATTTGAGAGAAGCAGATGATAAATTATATAATAATTTTGGTTGTAAACTAATCAAATTCGTCTAATATTAATTTTTACCCTTAGAAAACTTAATATGAATAAAATTCTTCTATATGAATCTCTTCTTTGCTTCTTTTTAGAAGGCATTTCACATTCTGATTCAAATAAAATAAGATGATTATAAGAATAATTATGAATAGTTTCTAATAATTGTTTCTAATAACTCTTATCTTTGATAAACTTTAAATTCTATTGAGATTGTCTATCACCTTACTCTTCTATTTTAATTATTATTTGGATCATATAAACTCAATGGTGGAAATTCACTAATAATTCTTTCACTCGCATTAAGAATCAAAGATATATTAAACTTAATTTCAAAAGACATCAGATTTTTATTAAACTCCTCTAAGTCTTTCTAAATTAAGGATGATTGAGCAATTTTATTTTCAGATCTTGTATTAATTATTTATTTATAATAAAAACTAAAACTATAAGAAAATTTTCTTCATTCGTTTTTTTTGTTCATTAGTAATTTATTAAAAGATGAAAACCAAGCTCATGAATTTATAAAGTTTAAATGTGCTTTTGATAGAAATTTATAATTTATATTTATAATTTTATAATAAATTAACTTTATCTACTCTATCATTATACTATCTCTTTCATTTTTTTAATAACAATTTTTCTAATAATTTATAACAAATTTTATTTTAGCAATTCTCTAGATTAAAATTCATTTAATTCAGTAGCTCCAAAAATTTTGCTGAAATTATTTCAAGCTTTCGAATTTTTTTTCTAATTTTTTATCCACTGTTATATAATTATTATTCAACTCAATATAAGCCTCTACAGATTATTTTTATAAATTTTTTTCTCAAATTATATTTGGTATTATGATTTTGAATATATTGAGTAATTCACTATTATAGGATAAAATTGTAACAATTTAGCTATTAGAAATTCTTAATCTACAAATTTATAAGTGTTTGGGTATTTTCTCTATTATTTTTTTTTCTCTTTTAATTCAATATATTATAAAATAGACAAGAGTCCTATATTATTTATCTAATTTCAGAAAATATCCTAAATTTTAATTTTAGTAAATATATACAAGATTAATCATACCTAATATAGTGATATTATAATTACTTTTGCTCTTCATCATTTGCATTGTCAAATTGCTAATTTAACTATTTATTTAATCTTTCCATAGATAAATAAGTATTTTTTATTCCAAAAATATTAAAATGAAATTTATAAGAATGGCATTGCTTCCTTATATACTCAAATAAGATTTTTTGTTTTCATTTATACATTTTAAGCATTAAATACTAAATTTTAATATATGTATCATACTATATATTCTCATAATCGTTCAAATTATTAACTAATTAATCTATAATACTAAGACTATTTTCTATTTAAGAATTATTAAAAGGTTAATATTATATAATTTCAATCTAGATCACATATATTATATTCCAAAGTATTTAAACTTTTTATCAATTTCCTTTAATTTATAACATTTATAATTATGCATTGATATTTTTAATTTGTTTAAACTCTTCCAAGATTATTGAATAATATTTTTTATAAAATTGATTTATAATTTATATTTCGACTTTGATATTGAATTGAGATTACCTTGAATAAACTACTGAAAATTTAATTTTCTTATGTTCTCTTAATCTTTCTATGAAACAATTATACAATTCAAAATCAATAATTAAATACAAATGGATATTACATTAAATTTTCTGGATCCTCAAGAGGAGAAAAATTATGGTCTTTATAGTCATTAGATCGAACTAAATTTATTTAAAAGGCTACTCTATAGTATGATGATTGGATCATTTTCTGGGTCTATATACTTTCTTATAACATAGAACTATCTCTATATAGTTCTTGGAACCTATATGTTAATTCAAACTATGTTAGCAATTTTTCTCTCAAAAAAATCGATCTAAATTCTAAATGTTGTAGCTTTTGCATATCAAATGGAGATCTAAACCCTACTTGCTGTGTTAATTACATAATTAGATGAAACATTATAGAGAGGTACAGTAATGATAATCACATCAGCAGCTTTTTAATTATCTATTTGGTATATCTTGCATTTTAATTGTATAGTCTCTCCATTGGTACAAAATTTTACTTGAAATTATTCGTGAGTCTTTACTCTATCACTATTTAAATATTACTAAGTTCAATGATTGAATCTTTAAGTTTAGTTTGGATAGGTTTTGCACTTTTTTCCCTTATCTTCTCATTCTAATTCATTTATTATTAAGAATACGAGAAGAGGTAAAAATATACTTTGCATTAAAATGCGTAAAGGATAAAGGAAAACTTAATAAATTTAATTGAGATACCAATACTAACATGCTATAATAATGAAACTGATTTAAAATTAGTCTTCACTGAAGCTAACTAATGTGCTTAAAGTCTTCTGAAAGTCAAAGATTAAAATAGTTTTCTTAAATTTGCTAGAGAAGTTAGCATATTGTAAACTAAAACAATATCCTCATTTACAAAATAATAAACTGTAAATTAGATCATAATAACACAATCTTTGGAAGGTTTAGTTAGAAAATTCTTTAGAAAATAAATTGAATAAGAAAATGATTTAAAGAAGAGTTTTTCAGCATATAGATGCAGAGTAAAACACAATTCTTAAGAGTACTTATGTTAATTAATTTTATTAAATGAAAAATAACCTCAATGTTTTATATACCTTTAGAGAAGCTTTGATGATTATATAGAAAAGACTAATCAGAAATTAAATATATTAAATTTACTTCTTAAAAGAAGTGCCAAAGAAATATTCACCAAAATTGGAAATAAATAAAAATGTTTTTAATCTTTGTACTCAAATTTAAAAATGTGTAAATCTCTCAAATCAGTTGAAAGATTGGACTAAGAAATATTTTAAGTTAACATTTACTTTGCTAATTCTAAAATATTATTCAACTCTCATAATACTAATTTTTCAACTAAGAAATCTTATAACTTAATTAAATTAATTGATTCAATTTTATTTCATTTCAATCATACACTATCCTAAAAATCTATTACAGTCTCTTTTAACAAGAATGACTAAAATCCAACTATATATTGTAATGATATGTTGCTTAAACAATTATTTTATAATTCTATTGAAAATGCAATAGTATTTGCAAAGGATAAAGTGAGTATAGATATAAACAGTCATTATGATAATGATATTGGTAAATAAGTAATTACAATTATAATATTAAATACAATTGATCCTGTGTATTTAGAACAAAATAACAAAGAAAAATACTTAAAATTAGGACATTTAGTAATCAACAAAATATTAAGATGGATAGCTCCATACAAAACATTATGCATAAATTAAGAGAATAATTTGTATTCAGTGAAATTCTGTTTATTTGATAAATTATGATTTTTAATAATTTTAATATTTTAATTAAATTATTAATTTTATCATAGAAAGAAAGAACAAGAAATTTTTAATTAAAAATAATCCATTTTTATTTCATTATTTTAACAATATATAATTCTTTTCTTATTGAAAAATATTTATTATAATCAGTGATAAAAATCGAATATTATACATGTTAAATTTACTCTCATTCTTTCATTCTTTGCATAATTTTATCTTAGTAATTTTTTGAATCATCTGTTCTCAATTAATAGCATAATACATAAGCTGATTTTGAAACAACATTTTATTCACTTATTTGATTAACTATTGAGTCATCAAAATTGTACCATTCATTAGTGAACTAATTTAATTATGTTATTAATTACTTTATTTTTTGCCATAGCTGTATAATGTCCACCTCCTAATCCACCAAAATGATTAGATACAGCATATAAATCATATATAACCTTTTTTTTATTAATTTCTCCATTCAAATTTTCATTTTCATTCTGAAATTCAGAAGGAATATTAGAATTAATTAAATAATCTGTCATATCAAGATTATTTATTGGAAAATCTACTTAAGTTTCAAGTTTTTATTTAAATAATCTATTTGAAGCCTTAAATCTCTTTAAAATAAAGATTAATATTTAAGGAGCCTATATATATTTATGGGAAATTTAATACCTTATATATTTACATGCTTTTAAATGCTTAAACATGTTCTTTACATACTTTACAATACCAAGTATTCTCTTTATTAAGTTATTCAGGCATCTATGAATATTACAAACAATCATAAAGAGAAACATTTCCTTATGAAGAATTGTAATTCATAGACTTAGATATTGGATTTGTTAATTGTGTATCTTAAACTTTAACTTTAATATATTAATTATACCCTCTATTTTATATTATTTGACATAATGTTCAAATAAATCAGATAATCTAACTTATTTAAATGGACTTTATTTCCACAAAATGACAATTTCAAAATTGAAATTTTTATCAATTTTCAAGACTTTATTTTTAATTTATTCAACTTTTTAATCATCAAATTTGACTTCACAATCATTACAAATTTTATTATTGCAAAAAGCACAAGGATTCAAATAATTTTAATTTGTTTTATAAAGTAAAGTATAATACTAAAATATATCATTATATATAAATACTTAATTTAATACTTAATTTTGATAATTTAATTAATTGTATTCAGAAAAAAATAATTTAAAATTATTAAAGATGAATAAATGAAATTATTTTAATGTCATTTATCCATCAATAATAAATACACCAGCTTAATAAAATGGCTTTTTTGATTAATATTCATAATATTTATTTGAAAATTAAATAGGTAATTTGTTTTTTATTTAAATTTCTTCTTATGTTAATTTTCTAAAGCATAAATTTGATTTTTTTGAACTCTTTCTTATTTCAATTATTGATTTATTTTAATCCAAAAATTCATAAGAAGTATATTTATTAGCAATATAACCAAATAAATGTTAAGAATCTATTTTTAGTATGTCTCCAAGATGTTTCAAATATTCTTTAAAAGGAATATTTTTATTTTTATCAAATGGAATTGTCATTGATGTATATTAAAATAGATCTAAATAAAATTTAAATGATATAGTTCTCTTTTTTAAACTTGGAATACCTAATTATACCATTAAATAAGGATCAAAAGTAATAGAAACTTCTTAACAAGTAGGACACTTTAAAGTAGATTTATATTATCCATGCATGAGATCAACAATAATTGATTAATTTCTAGCAAGATGGTTTAACCAACTTTCTTTAGCAATAATAAAATCAGATCTACCATCATAATCCTTAGTTTCAACATATGGTTTCTTTTTAACTCTATTTAAATCTTCATGTATTCCATCTAAAACAAATGTCATTAATTCAGATGAATCATGTTAATGATAACCTTTAAACATTGGTTAAAATTATCCAACTGCTTTTTTGTAGTTTGTAGGTGTTATTATTTTTTTATCTCCACACCAAATTTTTTTAATTAGTGATCCTACCTTTTTTACTAATTATCCTTATGTACCTAAAGGATTATCCATATTAATCTCATTAAAATATAAATTCTTTAAAAAATATTCAACCAAAGGATATGAATTAGAAATACATTAAGTTCCACTATTCATAAAACATGTATTTCCTAAATTACTCAAACCCACAATTCCTTTAATTGATGTAGATGTAATAATTAGAGATTTTATAGATTCATCATCTGACCCATGCTTATCACATCTAGAGCTATGATAATTATAATTATTCTATTTGCATTATTCTGAACAATAAGCAACTTTTCTGCAAATACATGGAAAACTAAGAACTCTGAAGCCATTACAAGATTCACATTTTCCTTCCACTTTAATTGCTTAATTTCTAATACACCATGGTTTATAATCATCTTTAAACTAATTGAATAAATTGGATAATTACTTCAAATACAATAAGATTAGTATCAATAATACCAATATCTTCAATATATTCATATTATTAATGAGTTAATAATTCTCCAATTAAATCAAAGCACATATCATCTTTATTATCTAATTAGGTGACTTATTTGAAAATTTCATTATATAAAGTTTTATAAGGATCCTTTTAATCTGTCACATATCTCCATATTCTCACATTATTATTTCTTTTAAAATTTCCTTAAAAAGTATGTACCGTATTTTGTATCAATTCTTAATAATCTTTTAATTTCATATTTCTATCTACTTGCATAACTTCACTCTCAAATGTTTGTTTATACATTCTGTCTAAAGATATCTATTTGATTATTATAGGATAGATCAATACACATTTAAACTAAAAATGATTTTATTTTATACTCTTAATAAATTTACAGCCACTTATTTGTCTTTTCCATTACCATTAGATGGTCTGATTATTGATATACCTGAATAATAAGATGTAAAAAAATCCCAAATATCCTTATCAATAACTATATAATCAACATTTTCCTAACATTCTTATTTCATAAATGTATTCCATGGATGAGTCTTTATAGGATCATACAGAAAGCATTTCATCACATTCTCCTACAAATCATCATTAATTCTATCAAGTGTTATTCTGCCAAAATACAAACATGGTGCCTTGTTGGCAACAATCTCATCATAGGAGACATATTTTTTCCATTAATTAAGCCAGCTTAAATTTTCTATTTAAAAATTACTTTAGGCTTAAAATGTAAAATTGATTGTTGTTATTAGATGAAAATCTCTTTGAAAATGATTCTTAAAGTCTCTTATATTCCAAAGCTTACTTCTTCAATTTATCTGCAGCAAATTGAGACAATTGAATCTCATTCAATTTTTATTCTTCCATCATTTTAAAAAATTTAATTATAATCTATGTTTCCCAATATAAATTATTAATTTTATTACATTTCTATTAGATTTTTATTATTAATTGATTGTTGTATATTTATAATCTATTATCTTTTCTGTTTTTGAGACTATTTCTACAATCATCAAATTTAATCTAATAATTGAATTTATGATAAGTATTTAAATTGATCAACAGAATATAAATTTTTTGATAAATCAAATAAAATTTAAGTTATATTAATTTTTTATGAATTATAATTATTATCATAATCAACTTGATGCTTAAAGAGGAATTCATTAGAATTTATAATCTGTTGGAAAATTCAAAAAAGGAATTGTATTTTAGAATTATCCTTTTAATCCAATTTAAAATTACACCTCAAACTTTAAAGCACGTCCATAAACATCTTAAACTTAAACTGTAAAAAAACCTTCAACAGCATAAGTAGACATAAATAAATAGCTCAATAGTCTTTTAGACACTTTCCAAGAGCAGCAACATCTTAGACTCATAGATAACACAATATGCTCTTTTCTGAGTAACCTAAATAACTTGAAATAAAAACAAAACCAAGTAAAAGATTTATGAAGATATACTTTATGAAAAGTAANCCGTATTTTGTATCAATTCTTAATAATCTTTTAATTTCATATTTCTATCTACTTGCATAACTTCACTCTCAAATGTTTGTTTATACATTCTGTCTAAAGATATCTATTTGATTATTATAGGATAGATCAATACACATTTAAACTAAAAATGATTTTATTTTATACTCTTAATAAATTTACAGCCACTTATTTGTCTTTTCCATTACCATTAGATGGTCTGATTATTGATATACCTGAATAATAAGATGTAAAAAAATCCCAAATATCCTTATCAATAACTATATAATCAACATTTTCCTAACATTCTTATTTCATAAATGTATTCCATGGATGAGTCTTTATAGGATCATACAGAAAGCATTTCATCACATTCTCCTACAAATCATCATTAATTCTATCAAGTGTTATTCTGCCAAAATACAAACATGGTGCCTTGTTGGCAACAATCTCATCATAGGAGACATATTTTTTCCATTAATTAAGCCAGCTTAAATTTTCTATTTAAAAATTACTTTAGGCTTAAAATGTAAAATTGATTGTTGTTATTAGATGAAAATCTCTTTGAAAATGATTCTTAAAGTCTCTTATATTCCAAAGCTTACTTCTTCAATTTATCTGCAGCAAATTGAGACAATTGAATCTCATTCAATTTTTATTCTTCCATCATTTTAAAAAATTTAATTATAATCTATGTTTCCCAATATAAATTATTAATTTTATTACATTTCTATTAGATTTTTATTATTAATTGATTGTTGTATATTTATAATCTATTATCTTTTCTGTTTTTGAGACTATTTCTACAATCATCAAATTTAATCTAATAATTGAATTTATGATAAGTATTTAAATTGATCAACAGAATATAAATTTTTTGATAAATCAAATAAAATTTAAGTTATATTAATTTTTTATGAATTATAATTATTATCATAATCAACTTGATGCTTAAAGAGGAATTCATTAGAATTTATAATCTGTTGGAAAATTCAAAAAAGGAATTGTATTTTAGAATTATCCTTTTAATCCAATTTAAAATTACACCTCAAACTTTAAAGCACGTCCATAAACATCTTAAACTTAAACTGTAAAAAAACCTTCAACAGCATAAGTAGACATAAATAAATAGCTCAATAGTCTTTTAGACACTTTCCAAGAGCAGCAACATCTTAGACTCATAGATAACACAATATGCTCTTTTCTGAGTAACCTAAATAACTTGAAATAAAAACAAAACCAAGTAAAAGATTTATGAAGATATACTTTATGAAAAGTAATCTAGCCTCTCTAATTTAGCCAATTAACAAACCATTTTACATAATATCATAAATAACAAACTTAAAGCACTCCCCCCTGGTGACAGAAGGATATTATCAGTTCTTAATATAATTTAAGACAAATTTAAAGAACTTACTATATAGGAGATGAATCTATTAATCTGTCAACATATCCAATCTGAAAAATTCTATATCTATTTTTCAGGTTAAACTATTATTTAACTATAGATTCTGAATGGATTCCATGCAGTAAATGTTGTTAATCACCAGTATTTATAGTTTTAAGTCCATTGTCTCAAAAAACAGATATATTTTGTTGTTAATGTACTCGAAATTTATAAAATCCTCCTAAATCTGCATTTTAGAGTAATTCAATTCTTCCTAAATAATCATTTTCTTAGTATGGACACTCATTATAGGAATAGAAAGAAAGGCAAAAAGTGAGTAGAATAATAATATCTGGTAAATACCGAAATGTTAATTTGAAAGAAATATATAATAAAGTGTAAGAACATGAATAAAAAGAAGAATCTTTCAACTTAGAAATCCATACTAAAGAAATACAATAAGAAAGTACTATTTTAGAATTGAAAGACTTAATTAATGAATTATCCTGATTTACCAATAATAAAATTCTATATATTATATTTTAAAGACAAAAAACAATTTTAAATTGTCAAAAAAATAATAATATTGATTGTCAATTTTTTCAACTTAATTTCTTTAATTATTTCACTTATACTTAAAAAATTCTTCTAATTTGTTATGATTAGATTTATTTATCATATTAGATATATCATTACTTATTTCACAATTTGAAGATTTATTTTTAATTTGTAACTTAATAAGGATTACATTATTAAATAAAAGATTTGGGTAATATAGTGTCGCCTATTTAAAGGATAAGATGCTAATATACTCTTTTTTATATTTGAGTAAAATATCTCATTCCATACTTAAATTATATTTATTTATAATTAAGAAGAAACTTAATTCTCTTTTTTTTTAATTGAAAATTATGAATCATAAAAGTATAATAAAGTAAAAATTTCATATTATTTTAAATTATGATAAGGCATTTTACTATAAATAGAGAAAGAGCTAAAAATTTAAAATAAATTATAAACTCTATTTTGACTAAATAATTTTATTGAATAATATTAATTGCAATTAGAAAATAATATGAAATCTAATTCTTCAGCATATGTGTAGATGACATCTACAAAATTTATATTTTAGTACTTTCTTTAAAAACTGAGTGTATTTACTTAAATTTTTAATCAACTTTATGGATTGCATTTTTTTTTTATTTATTCTTTTTAATAATGAAATGAATTGAGAATCTTAAACAATAACCATATCATCATAATATCTATCAATCAATTTTCGATGAGTTGTGAATGATTTTCTTTTTAATAATTTGAATAAAATGTATTTCTTATTGAAAATTATATATTTTATTGATAAACAAAGCAATACTATCCCATAAATTAAATATTAATGTATGATTAAATCACTTTTTGATTTATTTCACTATTTTCACTTCTTCTACTAAGAATGCTCTAATGATGCGATTTTTTAGGGCTCCAGCACTCAATACTCCTCCATATGGTCTTGATACTGTTCTTTGTCTTCTGGAAAGTTACTTGAGTTTTGTAGGTCTAATGCGTTTAAGTCCATTTAAGACAATATTCAAATTAGAATCAGCACATGTTGAAGCACTTGTCTTTTTATTTGGATATTAAACAACAACTCTACCACCTAATATAGATGGATTTTAATACCTGGTGTCTTGACCTTTCTAATCTTATTAGATCTTGTATTATAGCTGGTTCTTCTACGATAAGTAACTCTTACACCCATTTGTTAAAATCTTAATTAAAAATTTTTTTAATATTTTATCAAAACAAAATAAAGATGAAAGAGCAAAAATTCTAATAGATCATATTTGTGAAACATAAAAACTATTATTCTCTAAATGAATTATAGTCTTATTTGTTTTTATAGATTCTGACACAAAATAATTAGCCTTCATTCATAATTGATTACAGACAAATTACATTTTTTATTTAATTAGACTATTTTATTTCACTTAATTTGAATTAAAAATCAAGAAATTAATGATCAAAACAAAATTTTTCTCTCAAAAGATTGAATGAAAATTAAAAAGAAACATAGCAACCTTTTTGTAATAGATAATAAATTAATGTAATAATAAAAAGAACTCAAAAATATGACGCCTTTATAAATGGAAAAATAATAAATAATATTTCTTCATTACATTCAAAAGAATTAATAATTAAATACAAAGAATAAAATATAGAACAACATAAAAATTTTAGAAAATGATTTAAATATAATTATTCTAATAAATATTTTATTATTTTTTTAATGATTTAATTTATTTCAATCAGAATTGTATCTAAATTTATTTTCAAAATAATGATATTTTTCTTTTTACATTCCATCTCTATATGTATCAGATTTCTATTAGAAACTAGTCCTATAAGAAGTATTAATTTATTTTTATATACCAAGAGGCAATTAAAATAAAGATGCCTTTTCTTTAGAATTTAAATTAATAAGGTTTAATTCTTTCACAGATTAGGTTAGATGAGAACTTAAATTTTTAATTTGTATGTTTTGTTTTATTTAATTATGATTGCTATAATATCTAACCATTCTTAATTCTTTATTATCAAATTCTAAATTAAATTATGTCTTATCTTTGATTTTTTTGATATCAATCTTTTGTAATATTTCATGAAGTCCTTCTCCAAAATAAGTTATCTTTGGTGAAATTTCAATCTCAAAATTAAAATGATATCCTAATTATGTTATCCATCTTAAATCCCTTTACAAATATGCTAATCTTGCTGTTTAAGCTGTATCTTTATTATCATTTGAATTGTTTATAATAGCTGCATATTCATCCTCTCTTTTTACTCTAAATAAACCAAACTTTTATATGGAACAATAGGGCAAAGCATCATAATAGGTAATTTCAAATTTCAGAGCATTTGTAGTAGCTAATTAAGGTTAGATGATTTAATTTAATTTATAATCGAAATATGTACATTTTTTTTAACGAATAGTAAAGCTTTGTAACAATAAAATAATACTTAGCTTGCAATTAAAATCTATAATTTTGATTCAAATTTAAAGCATAATCAAGTGAGCATAATGCTTATCCTATTACTCCATCTAATTTTTCAATTTATCTTACAGACATATCATTATTTTCTAAACTTATAGAATTATTATTACCAACTATTTGTAATTGAGATTGTTCATTTTTAACAATAATAGGTAATTTTTCATCTATATTTCTTTTTTAAATACATTTGAAACTTAAATCTAATTTTAATCTTGTAAATGCTCCAAGCCAATATGGATCTCCAAATTTACATAATACATTTTCTATTGAACATAATTATATAATAGTTATGCCAAGTAATTTCATAGTTTCTAATACTTATTAATTTAAATAGATTTGTCCATTTCCTATATGTTCTTCATATATTTAGTTTTCATTTCTAAAAAGAATTTATCCATCCATACTTAGTAATGGTAAGCAATCTTATTAAAAGAAATAAATCTAATATTCTTTTAATCCATAGAAATTTGAATTTTATAAATTTGTAGTAATTATTTCATGATTAAAACTTGTAGTCATTATGAATATTAGTATTGGCTAGCATTTTCCATTTAATTTTTTTGTTAAATTTTATAGGCTTTGTATTCTTTCAAAATACAATTGAAATAAACATTTTTTTGATGGTAACTAAATATCTAAAAACCCTGTATTTTATTAAGAACTAATCACGATTGCCACTAAATAGTGAGTATTATCCTAATACGTTTGCCCTCTGCAATTATTTAATATCCAATAGTATCATCTTTTAATTCAATATCTAAGCAGTTTACAAATTGGAATGGAATTTATTTCTTTGTATTTTACTTAAACTTTTGAAATGCCTAAAAATAGTTTAAATAATACTTAATTCAACAAATTAATATCATAGCTGAATAGTTTCTCTAAAATTTGCTGCTTATGATTTTCTTTTAGCTTCTCTATATACTTCAATATTGAAGTCTATTCATTGATTTAGTAATCAATAGCATCATATGATCTCTTTTTCATTTATTAATTTAAATATAATAAGAAATTATAAATTATCAGCATAAATATTTTATTAACTTAAATTATAATTGCTTTCAATAAATATCCAACTGTTTAATATCGCTTTTTGTAAATTCTAATTCTTTTCCAAAATCTTAATATCCTTTTTCATTTAATCTGCTCATTACAATGTTGTCATTTTGAATAAGCTTAACTAAATTTTATCTACTAAAATGAAATTTTAATACTGTAAAACACTAATTAATA